TGAATTAAAACAAAAGAAATAATTTGGGCCTAAAAGGGTTAAAAAAGAAAAAAGAACAACCACAGACTTAAACGGATTTTCTGAGAAAAAAAAGATTTTTGGAAGACGTTTACGTAAGACATTATTCGACGCTATTTTTTAAGTGGATTACGAATATCACAAAAAAACGATCGGAAAAAGTATTAGGCCCTGGTCTTCCAGGACAACTTTGAAAATCTTTTTTTCATGCGGTCTTTTCTTGTATGAAGGATGGAAATCAGTCGGGACAACGTTAGCAATGAATGAGGATTGAATGAAACGAATGGCAAACATGGACAGTATTTTAACTTTAAGCACAGATTTGCTTTGAGCAGTTTCTCAGATGCAAAGTAAAATCTACTCAAATCTACATCTGGGAATAAGAACAATTTCGAATGAACTACTTAACTATGCTACTTTTTTTTCCAGAGTGTTTTTGAAAAGCTATCTTTTTATAAAAAAGCTAAACGTGAACGACACCGCAAGTATCATGAACAAAATAAAGTTAATTTAAAAGATTTTGTTGATAGATATAGATATAGAGGCAGAGATCGATTTTATCATTCCTTGTCACAGAACACAAAACTCGTTTGTGGTTTAAGAAAATGGCACTTTGTATCGTCTGGAATACCAGTGTTTCCTGGTAGTGTATGACACATCATTAATATGCTCACAGTTGTGTTTGTATTCTCATATTTAACTGTTATCTCAATCATGTCTCTTGCTTCTGTTGTATGACAGAAATAGTACGAACACCGGCTCTTGTGACCACCATGTTGACTCATTTGTTTGTGACACACAATTGAATTTTGTTTTTGACAGACGTCAGATTGTTTTATATCAAGAATTGTTACATTAAACAAATTTGGAAATGGTAGTGCACTCTTAACTTCCGTATTTGGAATAAGACGCTCAAGTTTAGAAAATTTTTGATGTAGCGTACGTTGACTCCAATTCAAGGATTGCTCTATACTATCTGAACAATTGATTAAAATACCAAGTGGAAGCCATAGGTCCGGACGACAAGTATTAATTTTCTTGAGATGACACTGATGATTCGTAGCAGCATTCCAAAGAAAATTTGGTATTGTCCAATAACCACCAATAAGAATTGAGTGATTTAAGGACGACGTCAGATCATTGTAAGCATGTTCCATTCCCTTTTTATGGGCATTTAAACGAATTTCATTTTGCTGTTCACAAAATGAAGACTGCGAACTAGTGATCGATCTTCTTTTGCGTCCGTCACATTTTATAGCTGAATTTCTAATCGACCTTCTTTTTCTGCCCTAAAACAAGTAATAGACTGAATATGATCACTTTAATAAGTATAACCGAAAAATTTCGGTTCTCACCAGCGCCAAAACATCAGATACGTGCGGAACAACGCTACACTCCGCAAAAATACCACTTTAAAGCGCCCACTTTAAAGAGAAAAACTTTCTGTCAAAACGCTACTCTAAAGTTTTGTGAAAAATCTGAAAATTTGACAAGTTAAGAAAATAGGATAAAGTCCTTTTATAATTCCACAATATTCTGTCCAATATAATGAATAGATAGACTTTATGACTACAGATTTTCACACACACATCACAACGTTTTCTTACGTTGCAAATACCGCCAGTATCTAACATATCTATTTGACTTTGAAACAACATATCATAGTCAAGTGATCGAAGACAATCAACATCGTTCATACTCGGAGAGCCAAGTGACTTTTGAATAAAACATAATAACCATAATGCACCCAAGCAAAGTTTCATCGTTAAAAATAGTAGAAGAGCAGATGTGGTAATAATAATTAATGACTTTTTTATATTGACAGAAAAATTAAAATTTATATATATTTGCAGTCAGATAAGGGAAAGTGCATGACATTTGATTTATATTGTTCTATATACTCAGATAAGATTAAATGTATTAAATATTTCAATAGGTATTAAATAAATCTTCAAATATAAGAGCATAATAAAAATATATGATGCACTACTTCCTTCCTTTATTTTTAAAATAATTTTCCAAGTGCCTGCTCCGTACAAACACCAAAAGATGACTCATGAAAATTGTTCAATTAATTTCTGTCAAAATAATGGGAGCTGCCATACAAACAGTACTAATAACAATTCGTGGTCGTGGTGTGAATGCTCGCCATGCACTGTCGGTACAAGGTGTGAGCTAAAAGATAGTATAATCTACAAAAATCCGCCAGATGTTATGCAAATAATGATTGGTCAATCCTCGTCGATCAATTACAGAATCTTTTTTATACTTTTTGTTAGTATTATGGTCTTTACTGGATTAGTCAATAATTTTCTGACTTTGTTAACAGTGCTTCAGAGTAAATGTATTCGTTTATCATACACAGGAATTTATTTAGTCTCGTACACTCTGTGCAGTATCTATATCATGATTTTTATCCAAATACCATACACTCTAATATTATATGCACCAAAATCTATTGTACAATCATATTCCTATCAATACATCTTTAATTGTTATATAGGCGGTACTCTTAACGCTATTCTTCTTGCTGCCTCTACATGGTTTTCATCGATTTTAGCTCTAGAACGTACGTTAATCGAATTATTTTTCTTTAAACTATTTGGTTTGACAAGAAAACATGCACTTATAATTGTATTACTAATTCTTATATTTTGTGTATGCGGACGTATTCCTACAATGTTAACGAAAGTGATAGCACGGGACCCAGATGATTATCATCATCATTCATTTATATGTACGTGGAAAGCAGATACAAATCTATACAGTAAACTTGAATTAATCTATCAATGGATTAACACGGGCGGTACATGTTTTCTACATTTCCTAGCAAATATTTTAACCCTAATTAGTATTGCAAGACGTAAAGTTTATTTATCAAGAAACCATACATATGAGATTACATATTGGCGTGCATGGTGTATACAACTTTCAAAGCATCGCGATTATTTTATACCACCGACCGTGATTCTACTAAGTCAGTTAGGTCCAATATTATTCTTTCAAATCGGTGAGCGTCAAGAATGTTTAGAACCGAAACCAGGTTTGTGGGCACATCTGCACTTATCAGTTAGTTTTTTACAATGGATTCCACATACTGTCATATTTTTAATATTTATCTATCCTTCAGAAATCTATATGAAAGAATTTTATTCAAATACATATGCTGGTAAATGGCTTTTAACGATAAAAGAAAAAAAGTATACATGTTGTTATTGAACTGTTAATTCAGCTTCATTGTAACTGTGAATGAATAGTTTAAAAACTCTCTTTTGTACAAGTTCCCCTTTCTATTGTTGTAACAACAAAAAGAAAGATGAGTAAATTTCGTTGTTCACAGCCGAATTTATCTGAACGTTAATTTGTGGTGCCCAAAGGTGATATATATATCATCCTGATCGACAGAGACTAATTAAAGTTCTGAAATAAATGCGAGGATTATAGCTTTTTTGCCAATTTCTGTCTCAACTCTAACTGTAGCTCTGCCATAAATCAAACTTCTAACATGTTCGTTGATTTGAGGACAGACGAAAGCTACTACATTAGTGAACGCAGTCTGTTGACGTTGGGAAATTTGTCGAA